ATTATTGGTAAAGCTGAAAGAGACGGGTCAGTGGCAGCGCAAAGACTGATCATGTATGGAGGAAATGATGACTTTGGTAAGTCTTACGATCTTATAAAACACTAGCAATAATTATTTCTCATTTGAGTATGGCAATTTTCAGTTGACCTGATAGGCAGCAACCTAATGTGCAGCAAAAACCTTTTTGTGCAGAAAGGATGTTGGTAGTTGTAGTATTTGTACTTTTTAATTTCCGCTATAACAGTCCTACTGACCAGTTTTTGCTAAGCGAAAATACAAGTATTTGTGCCGTTTCTAAAAGCGACATGTAAAAACGGCTTTTAAGGATTTCTTTAGCATTTTAGAGGCTATGAAAAGTGCAAGGACTAGAACTATCATCATGCTTTGCTGCACAAAATGGTGTTGCTGCACATTGCCTATGCAAAACATTTCAATCCAGCAAATCAACTGCCATTCATTAATAAATAAATATTGTTTTAATTAAATTGTTTGTTTTTTTTTCACTTCTACAGATTTGAACCTTTATGACCAAGCCATTAAACTTACTACAAATTTTCCCGACATATTTCCTGCAAGCAATACAAATGGTTTTTAACCGAAAAGAATGCTKCAATAACAAGAATATTCAAGAGTTCAACTAAATTCAAAACTGTATCATCCAAAGTCATAAAAGACATGTTGTATTGGTAGAGATAATGGTTCATACAGTTGCTGGACTGTTGTTGTTGTTCAAAATATTGTTTGCCTGGACTTCTCCATTGTCCTTCAAGTAAACAGTTAACAGAAATTTCAAGAAAAAAAAAACAGACTCACAGTGCCATAGCAAACTGTAGATATYAGCATCTTTACATTGTAAAATGTCATACTGGTTGGCTATGGCTCTTAACTCCTTTTTCAAGTGAGGTGATACAAATCTCTTGCTCTGAAAATAATATAATCTTACACAAGAAGATATTATCAAAAAAGTTTAATAATTTGTATACATTCTAGCTAAAGAACAAGACTTTTGTCTTTGTTTGTACATTCATGTAAGAATTCATTATTTTTTGCATGAAGGCAACATTTAAATGTACAGTAATACTTCTATAATAGAGTATTGGGACTTTTGATTGTGGCTGCTTTATTGTAGATGGTAACTGCTGAAWAGAGGTACCATTGTAGTGAAGTTGTAACTACCACTATGTTATCAGTATTTTCATTATTATTTAGCTTTTATATTCTAATGATAKGAATAGGAAAAGAAAGTCTGTTGTAGTAAAAATCAAATTGCAACTTGGTTTTGATAAATATCATTGGTAATTACATTACAACATTTAGATAATGTATATTTTCAGTATTACTAAATTGTTTCCATGTTTTTGTTTTGTAATCTGTTCTACTATGTATGGACTCCATTATACTAAGTTACATAAAAATATATTAAAAATACCATTTAATGATTGGAATGGTTTTGATTATTGACTGAATGCATTTTGATTGCTTTGGTTGAACCTGAAAAGCATCCAGGTACAGTAAAGCACTCTTACCTTGGCAATTGAAATTATCTGTGAATAAAGAATGATTCACAGTCCACCCAGAGTCATACTGTCTTATTATTTTAACAGCACATTGTTCATTGACTAGCCCTTGATATATTTTGCTTTCTACATTGATGAACATTTTTTTTTTCTGCTAAGTTCTGTACTCAATTCAGATAACCTACAGTAAGCAACAGTAGAGTGATCACACTTAAACTGTGCAACTGTACACAATCTAATTAGTATTAATTTGTACTAAAAGTGGACCTGAAGCAAGACCGTATTGAATGCTTCATTTGTATCAATTCAATTTAATTTGCGTACCGCATGCACGATTTACTAAATACAACTAAATAGAACTATTTAGTTTGTACAGTTGCATGGATTAAGTGCGATCACTCTCCTATACAAATCAATACAAATCATTATTATGCTGCACTGAAATTATGCAAAGAACAGACAAATTATCTATTAGCCTGGTTCCAGAGGTTCAGTTTTTCTTTCTTATTGCTGGGGCTGAGCCTTGCTATAGATAACTATTGCAAGTGTTGATTGTAGATTTTAAAACAATATAACTGTGAAATTGTACCATGAAAGGAAACATGGTTATTTAGCACTGTTCACWCAAGTACGTTGTTTGCACAATCCCACTAAAGCAATTTCTTGTTATTCCTAACTGTCAAAGGTGTAATCAAGTTATATTTTGTTTTTCTTTGCTAATTGGAGATAACGACGTGCTACTATCAGCACCCTCTGCTGGAGTTGCCATAGCAACTGAATCTAATTTCATACAATGGCAGCCACATGATGTAACTGGGCATTCAGAATGTTCCCTGAAAATAGAAATAAATATCCTTTTTTCCATATTCTGGTTGAATGATCGTACACAAAATAATTAAAAAGCTAGATTCTAGCAAAACAAAAGTATTATCATCATTATCAATGTCATTATCCATGATTTCCTTGTTTTAAATTATTTTGTGTGTTGAAATAATGAATATGGGATATTGTGGCCGATTGTAGAAACTAGCAGTAAACTAGTATGAGTTGTGTTGGTGTTTCTAGAGAGACAGTTTTTCAAAAAAGATAAATTTTAACACCATAAGAAAGTAGGTGTAACAACTAACTCATGTTTCAGGTGTTAATTAATCATTTTTTGGATGAATTTATCTTTTTGCACAAMTATTGTGAATGATATCTTTATCTACACAAGGTACAGGTAATATATAGCAAGTTTTTTTTTGTAGTTGTCATCATATCTATCATCATGATGTAATTTTACAAATCACAGACCAAATGGACTCACCTGAACCAATCAACAATGTGGTGGGCATGACCACCATGTCGGCAAGACTGGCACCAGGTGAACCAATTAGAAAAAGGATTTATGCTTCTGATATTCTTGGGTTTGTCTGTATTTGCATCTTCAAGGAATTGGAAAAACCTAATTTAAATTATTTGGTTTGGTTGAGCAGCATGACAATGATAACATTACATACCAACTGCTGGAGTCTTCTGTGGTTGTGTTGAAGGTGTTCCCATATGAACCAAACATAGAGAACATCGTGGCAAAGGCTTACGACATCCTGGACACCCCATCATCTGAAAGAAACTTCTTGCTCTTTAAAAGGTCTAACTTTGCATGTATAGATCGATCAATTTCATGCATATAATATAAATCAATCATTATTTATTACTATTAAATTAGTCAATCATTATCACTTAATCAATCATAATCAATTAAATTCTAATTTCAATTAATGATAATCATTATTTAATCAATCAATCATTAATAAATTATTAAAATCAATCAATCAATCAGGCAATTCATCAAATGTACCCTTGTCCTATTTGCTGGATTGCTATATTGGGCATACTTCCTTGGTCTAGAATCTAAACAAAATGAGCATGTCTCAMTGTAAGTTGATCAAAATATAAAGTAAAGTGGATGATGATAGCTTTTAGATAATTTTCCTTTGGTCTCTGAAATGCGACTGCCTAATTGAAGTTTTTGTAAAAAWCTCACCTGGTGCTCCTGATGTAGACAGGATGGAATTACCACAGAAAGTACAGGTTACAAAGACTTGTTGAATTGGTTTGCGAGTAGTATCTCTAAGTGAATGATGAATGTCAAACTGCGCTCTGAAGAAGACAAATAGAATAATAATACTTTCTTCATTTTCTGATTTACACAAGGATGGACAAGGAGAATAGTCTTCTTTTCAATAATATTGTTGATACAAAACGATAAACATGCTCACCGTTTATGCCACATTCTCCACATATCAAGTAAATTTCTATAACTAAGAAAAAATATAATGTTGAAGAGTGAACCATAGTCGTGGGACCATAAATATTCTTATAGAATTTTGTTTCCCTCAATTAAATGTTTGATAAATAAAGGCAAATAATAGAAGAGGTCATCAACACGTAGCAAATAGCCACATGTCAATGGAATAAGAGCAAGAATAAGTAGACAATAAGTACATAATTTGTTTACCTTTCAATCCATGTTTTGACTCTAGGATCATTAGCAACATCATTGGGAATATTTGGTGTAGAATTCACAATTAGCAAACTTGCTGTTTGTATATCTGTTGTCT